TTTTATTATATATATTTTAATTCAATATATAATTAGTAAAATGTATTAAATAAAAAAATATATTTATATATATAATTATATAAAATATATTTATAATAATTTTAATAAAAAAATATTTTTATTATTAATATTAAAATATAATTTACAATATAAAATTATTATTAATGCAATTTAATAAATATTTAATTTTTTATAAATTATAATTAACAAAAATGCCTTTTTAATTATAATTAATACATAAAAAATATCTTAATAGTATTTTATTTTTAATTAAAATTATAATAAATATATAATGAAATTAAAAATATCAATATATCATAATTTTTTACATATTGTTATTTACTAAGTATATTTTTCTTATTTATCATGTTATTATTTCTAATATATTTTGTCTAATATATATTTAATTTAATAATCTTTATTTAAATTAGCAATAATAAAAAAAATCGAATAGAATTATATTATATATATTTATAATATATATAAAAAAATAATAATATATGGGTTTCCTTTTTTCTAAAATTGTTAAAAAGTTATTTGGAATTAAAAATCAATTTAATATCCACATAGTAGGTCTTTAAAATGCTGGAAAAACCACAATTTTATATAGATAGTATATATTTTAATTTTTTAATCTTCTATTGAGTATAAAATAATATTTTTAGCAATTTAGGTAAAGTTATTGAAACGACTCCTACATTAGGAAGTAATATGGAAGAAGTTACGCATAATAATGTCCATTTAAAAGTTATTTTATTTGTATTTACAATTATTTTATATTATAGAAAAAAAGGTATGGGATTTAGGAGGTATAAGCAAAAAAAATAAATAATTTTTTTATGAAAAAAATGAAAAAATAATTTTTATTTTTATATTTTTTATTTAAAAAAAAAAAAAAAAAATCAATGTAATGAAAAATTATTAAATAAACAAAAAGGTTAAAAATCTATAAGATAAGTATGGGACGAGTATTTTAATTAAAGTGATGTAATTAAATAATCATTTATTTTTGATACAAATTAATATTTTAAAGGCTATTATTTATGTAATAGATTCAAAAGATACTAGCTTGTAGAATGAAAGTAATGAAGAATTTTAAAAATTATTAAAAAATGAATTATTAAAAAACTCTGTAATTTTAATTTTTGCAAATAAATAAGATTTAGAAAATGCTATGAGTACGGATTAAATTGTAGAAAAATATAAACTTTCTGATATAAAATCTCATTGTTGGCATATTTAAGTTTTTTTAAAATAATATATATTTTTATATATAAATAAAATATTATTATTTTTATATTGATTTTTTTTAAAAAAGGCATGTAGTGCTATTAATAATTAAGGCTTAGAAGAAGGTTTAGATTGGATAGTCGAAAAACTGTTAGAAAAAAATAAATGAAATATATTTTATTAATAAATATATATATATAAATAGATAATTTGATTTTATGTATTTTAAAATTAATATTAATACTTTTAGGAATATTTATTATTTCATTTATACTGTATTTATTAATTTTTTGGTTTTGTTTTTTTCACTTTTTTAAAAATTCAATTAAAGTTAAAAAAAAGAACATAATCTATTTTTTATATTTAAATATAAAGTTTTTTGAAAAATAATTTAAAAGAGAAATGAATATTTATTAATTATTATTTTTTTTTTTTATTTACATTTTATTCAAATTTATAATATTTTGTTATTTATTTTAAATTTTTATTAAAATTAAATTATTAATAATTATTTTCACAAATAATAAAATAACATATAATATAATATTTTTTATTTAATAATAATAAATTATAGATTAATGATTTAATATACATAAATATATATAAAAAGTTTATTTATATATATAATTATTATAAAAAAAAAGTAAAACTACTCACCTATATTCTTTTAATATTCTTGTGAAAAATTTTTAATGATGAGATCTACATTAACTTGAAGTCCTTGTTTTTATCATAGGACTCATAAATTTAAAGATTTTATTATTTTTATTTAATTCTTTATCATTTTTAATTAACAAGTCAATATTTTCTAAACAATATTTAAGATATTAAATATTTTCTCTTTCATCCCAGTGATATATTTTTCTTTTCTTTTTTTTCTAGAACTATATAATCTTACATAATATTTTTCTAAAATTTAAAGTAATTCCATTTTAATTTTATTTTTAAGTTCTTAACTTTAATCTTCATTTTCTTCTTGTTATTTTATAATTTATTCCTATTATATATAAATTTATTTATTCTATTATTAATTTTGTTAAATCTATATTTCTTCTTCCAATTTATTTCTTTATTAATTATCAATTATTATGTCTTCATATTAATATATTTCAATCGTTTTTTAAATCTATTAAATTTAATTAGAATTTTAAATATTATTATTACTATCATTATATAGAAAAAAGCCTTCTATTTATATATTAGACTCTAAATCATTACTCATATTAGCAATTAATTAACTAAATAAATCAGTATTGTAAGCATTTCTTGTATTAAAAGTAGATTAAGCTTAACTAAAATAATTTTAGTCATCATCTACTTATAAATCTATATTATTTAGGTATGCAAAGCTCATGTTTTATTTAAGGTGGTAATTTCAGGAAAAGATAAAAAATAATTTTTTATTATTTTTTATTTATCTTTAATTATTTAAAGTGTTTCTTTTTTAAAAAAATAAAAGTATTGGTTTCATTATAGTTTAAGCAATTTTTAATATATTAAAATATTATATTTATATATGTATCTTTTCCATTATTTTTATTTTTTTTTTAAAAAAACATATTATATTTATTAGCAAAAATTAATTTTTAATATAAAAAAAAAAAATTAAATATATTAAAAATACTAATTAAAATTATATAAGAATATTTATTTATATTAATAAAATATTAAAAAAATATAATATAATATATATATATATATATATATATATATATATATATATTTTAATAATATAAAAACTCAAATTTTTTATTTTTTTAAAAATAACAATTAATTAATATATACTCAAATTATTCGTTTAATCAAAAAAAAAATGATTTGTCAAAAACATAAAAAATAATATATATATATCTGCTTAAGTGAATATTGTATATTGAAAAAAAATAATTTATTTTTTTGTTAATCTTGTATAAACCATAAAAGTCATTAATTTGAATTAATTGATTGTTTCAAAGAATAAATCAAGCTTAGATATAAAAATGAAATTTAAGATAAATAAATATGCAATTAATATATATAATTAAAAAAATCTTAATATTAATCTAAAATAAATATTTAGTTAAAAAACTTAGAAGATGAATTAAAAAAAGAAATTGAAACTTCTTTACAAAAATATTCTTAAGAAAAATCATAAACCGAAATATCTCTTGAACTTTTATAGAAAAATCAAATAAACTAAATAAATATCAAAAGTTTAAATAAACTTATTTGGATAAGAAAAGGGAAAATCGGTCCTTAATAAATACAGAAAAATATTAATTAGTATTTTGAATGTTTGAATGATTAAATTCTATAAAACCTAGAAGGTAAGAATAAAAATATTTGCCAATTACTTAATATTAAAGGCGTATTAGATTAAGGTTCGGAAAATCTAAAATAAATAAAAGCTTAATAATAATCTCCTTATGGACTTAGAGGATTTTGTTAAATAAATGAAAAAGAAATTTTGGTTGTGCATTGTAATTGTATAAGATTAATTAATTGTGAGATATAAAATATTGTTGATACATTTTATTTAAAAAAAATTTCAATAAATTTTAATTTTATTATATAAAAAAAATCATAAAATGAATTTTTTTGCTTTAATAGAGGAAATAAGATTATAGAATATGTAAAAATTAGTAATTTATAGTAAAAAAGAGCTAAGTTTATAAATGTTTAAAATGCAATATTTTGCTGTGAATTTTTTTAAGGAAAAATTTTTGTAGGAAGTCATCTAGGAATAATAACAGTATATTAAGAAAACTAATTAAATCTAAAAATGATTAAAAAAATATAAATCATTGTTAAAGAAATTATTATAACTTTAAAAATAATGGATTCTACCAGTTTAATTTGTATTAAATAAATATATATAAATATAAATATATTTATATATATATATATTTTTATTTTTATAATATTTATATAAATTTTTTATTAATTTTTTATATTAAATTTTGATATATATCTAAATTTATATTATTATTTATTATATTTATTACCTTTTTATTTTTTTTATTTTTTTATTTGTTATTTCATTATTTTCTTTTATTGTAAAAACTTAATTAATTAAAAGTATTTAATTGATTTTTTTAAGATTATATTTTATATAATTACAATAAAAATTATTTATATTTATATATATATATATATTTATATATATTTAATACTTTTTTTTTTACACATATTATGTTTTTAAAAAGGTGGATTTTTTAAATAATATGAAATTGGAACTCTATTTCTTATTAATTTTATAAATGAAGAAATCATAAGAGAAATATCAATAGAATGTTATTCTAGAATTCCTATTATTTATGATATTTTTTTAAAGAAATTAAGTACTACTGGTTTCATATATTATTTAGGTAACTTAAATATAGAAAACACTATATAATAATATTATTATTAAAATAACAATTTATGTAATTATAATACATATTAATTATTTCATGATTCTTAAACAATGTTTGACAATATTTTGATATTATTTAATCCAGATAAGTCATCAATAGTTATTTTCGATTTTATAGAATAAAAAGTATTGAAAGAAATCGATATACATATTTAATTTGTCCAAAAAGTTATTGGAATATATTATATAAATTTTAAAATTGTACTTATTTTAGATAATTATAATGTTTTATTTTTTAATTGAATTTTTTTTATATTTTATTATTTATAAGTAATTTTTTTTTAATTAATTTTTCTAATTTATAATAAAAATATTTTTATAAAATTAAAAAAAATGTAAATTGAATGGATTGCTATAATAATATTTTTTGGTTTTATGGCTTTTTTAAGGATTATAGCTTTTAAAAAATCATATAAAAGACATTTAAAATAGCATACGCATCCTTATGATTTAGCAAAATAAGTAATTGCTTAAAATCAAACCAAACATACAGCTGAATAATTAAATAATATTTATAGTGTCGAAAAGATTTCATAGTTAATAGGATATAATATTGGTTGTTTAATAAGATTTAGTATATATTATTATTTTTTAAAAAATGCTTATACATTTTAAATATATATTCTTAGTTAATGAATAATAGCCTAATTTAGATGATATTTTTGATAAATTGAAAAATATTAATTTATATATTTTTATTGTTAAATAATATAATCAAAATAATAAGTAGAAAATTTCTGAATATTTTACTGTTTTAGGTTCTGTTGTTGGCCCTGTAAATAAAATAATATATTTTTTTTTAATATTAAATTTAAATGTTTTTTTTGTAAATAAAAGCACTTAGATATATTTAGTTAAATTAAAAACCATATTAAAAATTTACCAGAAAGCTAAAAGAATAAAAATAAAAATTAGCATGATTATATAGAATAATATATTTAATTTATAATTGAGGAATTAAGTTCTTACATTTTTGGTTTTTGATAATTAATTTTATAGATATTTTTTATATATAAAAAATATATATATATAAATGTATAAATATATATATTATATATTTATATATATATTTAATGATTATATTTTTTATTATATATTTAAATTTTATTTTATAATTTAAAATTATATATTTATTAAATATTATTTAATATTATTATTATATTTTTTTTTTTTTTATTAAATATTTAGGTTATATATTTTTATTTAATTTAAAATTTTTTTTCATATTTTTTTTTTATAAGAATTATTAATTTTTTTTTAATAATTTTTTTTTTTTTTTTAATAATATGTTAATATTATATTATTAATATTATAATATTTTAATATTTATCCTTTATATGAATTTATTTTAATATTTTATTTAATAATTAATTAAAAAATTTATCAGATAATACAATATATATATATTTTTTTTTAAATCCAATCATACTTTTATTAAATAAAATTATTAATTATCACTTTTATTTTTATTATTTTAAAAAAATTTAAAAATTTAATTAATCATAAAAATAATTATTTTTTTAATTTAATTAACAGTCTAAAAACTCTTATTATTTATTTTTTAAAATTAATTAATATTTTTTTTTAAATAAATTATTATTTAATGTATCAATTTATTTTTTATTATATTTTTATTTTTTTATTAAAAGAATTGATTTTTTTTTTTAAATATATTTCTTATAACTTAAGTGAATTAAATATTAAAAATGAATATTTATTTATATATAAAATAAAAATAATTAATTTTTATTTAAATAATTTTAATATAAATATCA